GAAAAATGTCTGTTTCTTTGTGCTGCGGGAACTTTGAAAGTTGGCTGCATTCTTGGTTTGGCTGAAATCTTAATTGACACGTCACACTGAGACCATCTTTTCCGCCATCTGGGTTAGACATTTGATGGAGCTTCTGAGAAAGTGCCTAACATGCCGCCCAAAGAGGTGATGACAGATCATCCCATGATACTTTTTGTGTGGCGGGTGAAAACAAGAAGAATTGAGCAAAGGAAAGGAGCAGACAGTCGAGAGGAAAACTAGAAGGTAAAGCCAGAAGAGGCAGAAATGGCACATAGTAAACAAGACTAAATGCTAGGATCTGCTTAAAAAGCTGGCTAGTACTTTCTGAGGTGAGGACTGATTGCTAATTCAGAACAGGTCAGGGGCACAGCAATGGTGTGTGCAGAGATAAGAGCCACCAGACAGCTCAAGGTGACCCCTCACACCCATCAGAGCAGAAAGCCTCTCCGCTATTGCTGGGGCCTGGGTTCCCTCTGCCTCACAAAGTCAATGACTTTAAGCTTCAAGATCAGTTCATAACACATTACTTGATGCTACAGGTTATGATGCCTATGGTGATGATAGGTTGGTAACATTTATGAAAACTTGTTAGGTTCTGTCACAGCACCAAGATTTTACATATGAATATTTGAGGCCACAAAATGAAATAGGTGCTGTTAACATCTCAAAAAGATAAAGAGATGCCTGCAAGGTGACATCATCTGTAAGCAGGAGAGCTGGATCCTGGAGCCCCTCCTCACTCAAATGCTTTTCCAAACTGTTTTCTACATTGTAAAAAAAGGAGACATAGCTCATCTGGCAACTTCAAATGACAAAAAACCACACACATAAAAATAGCTTGCTTAATTCTGTCCCTTTTATGTTAGGAGAGTAAGCAGGGTTACTTTTCTTCTGTTCACTTTGCAGTTCAGAACATGGAAGTTCAGACAAAATATTTGCCTTGAGGCCAGACAGCGGGCAGGTAACAAGCCATACGAGAAATGAGGTTTCCTTGCTTGAGAAACAATGGTTATAAGACTGGGAAAGGAGGCTGCCCTGGCCTTAACATCTGTAAATTGAACAACTTGTCCGAAGAACAAGGTAAAAGTGGTGAGCTGATTGGCTGTGCCTCCCCCAGAGTCATTTTCTTCTTCTATGCAAATCAAGGCTAACCCCATTGACCAGTCCAGCCAACTCACACAGCAGACAGGAAGGACCCACTTTCACAGCCGAAAGGCACCTTAGAGCTCACTACTTCAAATCTCTGTTTCAACAGTTGAGGAAAACCCCAAACTGCCAACTTGTTTAATGTAAGTAAGCTTCTTCATTACGATTGCATTCTGCTCCAAAACACCTCTCTCCTTGTTGCAACCTGGCTTTATTTGTGGAACAAAGGCGTCAGAAAAATAAATATCACACCAAAAACAAATTCTGCATTTGCTTCTGGTCAGGCAATATTTGATCTTATTAAGACCATTCTCTGTCGTTGGGCTTTTTTTGTTCTGCCTGCCAGGTCACACAAATCATGAAATGGAGACTTCTTATTAATTATGGAAGCTCAGCCAATAGCTTAGGCTTGTTTCTAACTAGCTCTTAAATAACTTAAATTAACCCATATCCTTTAATGTACTCTTAATGTTCTTTTTCATGGCTCGGTTACCTTTGCTTTGTAGAGCCTATGCTGCTTGCTCTGCGTACCTGGCGTCTCCCCATGACCCCGCTCTTCTTCCCAGTGTCCTCTCCACCCCCCAAATCCTGCCTAGCTGTTGGCCATTCGGTTGTTTATTAAACCAGTCCAAGTGACACATTTTCACAGCGTACAAAAAAGATTATTCCACAACGATTCTCGCATCCAAGCTTTATATAATATGCACATGCATGTGACACAGATAAGGATTTTGTTTGGACATAGCGATCGGCCGGAAACTGGGTCAATGACGCCTGGAAAAGAACTGTGTGGAATACACAAGCTCTCCAGCAAGGGCGGAAGTTAGCTTGGCAGCGTTCCAAGTCCTCCAGCTGCATTGTCAAGAGTGGCCAGTAGAGGCCGCTGTTGTCAGTTGTATCTCTCACATTTAAACTAAATTTTTTAAGTAAGTTATTGCAGAAATAAGTGAAATGAATGTAGCAAAAATATTCGTATTATCTTTAAAATATTAAATGGCAAGAGGAAGGCACAGCTGGATCTATACTGTATAATAAAGTCTCTGATGGTACTTAAGGACAACATAAAGTTGTCCTTAAGCCAAGGATAGAGTGGAATGACAGAAACAAAACAAACAAAAAAGACAAAAGGCTCTTTATCTGGGCAAATGATGCCCTACAAGGTTGCTGTGAGGATTACATAGGATAAGAATATGAAATTTGCTTTATTAAAAAAAAAAAAAAAACCTCTTTTTTTTCTCTTTTTGGTCAGAGAGTGGGGGAGAGGAAAAAAAAAACGATGCAGGAAGTTGAAGAGATTTGTTTCGAATGCCTTTCCTTGTAAAAACAGAAAATAATGCTGTCTGTTGAGAATCTGGGACAGAAGAAAAACAAAGCATCCAAGCAAATCAGCAACGCTTGGAAATACGCAGTCAAGGGCAAAACCAAAACAAAACACAACCAAGCCAGGAAACTGACAGTACCAGCCTCCAACTGCACGCTTCTGTTTCCTTGTTCGGGTTCTGGTCAGAGACACCAAGCCCTCCAATGAAAAGTTTCTAACATGCCGCAGGGTATGGTCCACACACGTAACCCCAGCACTGGGGATACTGAGGCATTCCACTTTGAGGACTGCCTAGGCTACATATCCAGACCCTGTTTCAAACACCAAAACAACACAGCAAAACACATGTGTGTATGTCCAAACTTGGCGTGGTGGTATACACCAGGAGCATCATAGCTAGCAGAGGAGAGGCAGGATGGTCATTGTCGGAACATGGCCCAAGGATGAAGCTACGTGAGAAGAATTCTGAGAGCTTGTGAACTCCAAGGAAACAAGACGAGAGTCTTATGACCTCTGTTCCTCCATAATATGGGTTGCTCTTAGAATGTGCTTTTGTGCTCCTCCCAGGTATGGTAAATAGAAGTAGGTTTACTTCCGATTACCCATCTGCTGTGGGATGGTCTGTATGTCAAATTGCTCTGATTAGTCAATAAATAAAACACTGATTGGCCAGTGGCCAGGCAGGAAGTATAGGCAGGACTAACAGAGAGGAGAATTGAAAAAACAGGAAGGCAGAGGGAGTCACTGCCAGCTGCCGCCATGACAAGCAGCATGTGAAGATGCTGGTAAGCCATGAGCCACATGGCAAGGTATAGAT